TCTCGGCCTTTTGGCTAAGATCAAGTGTAGTATCTGTTCTGATCAGTTTAATATCTGATCCGTGGTCCATCGGACCATATTTAATTAAAAAAAAATGGGAGCTAAACAACAGCCCGGATAACGGGAAAACAGGAAAGGAGGACAACAGGAGCAAACAGGACAGCGGGAGAAAAGGAAACGGGAACCAAAACAACAGCCGCCCGCTATCAGGCGGCTCCCTTTGCAATATAATTCCCTCCATCGAACGCTTGCTGCACACCACGCGCGTGGCCGCCCTCACCACATTAACTGGCGTGCTGTGAACAAACAGGTACAAACATGGTTCTGCACGCGGCCCGCCCCATGCAATAGTCCACGCGCATTTTCACACCTCGTTTCGGTGCACCGAGGACCACCGTCCTGCCCCTTCCCCCCCCCCGCCCAATGCGCTATAAGGGGTAGGGTGTTTTGAGTTGCCTGGGGTGACCTGCGTGGCTGCCTGCCCGGGCAACTTACCCAGATGCCTGGCGGAGGGTGGCAGGCAACCTGGCTGCGCAAATTTCTTGCCTTTTGATTCCTTGGAAATTTGAACAACTGTCCTTCAGGAGACCCGTTGAAATTGGAACAATACAGAGAAGATTAGCATGGCACCTGAAAAAAAAAAAAAAAAAAAAAAAAAAAACAACAACAACAACAACAACAACAACAACAACAACAAACAATTACAAAAAAAAAAAAACAGAGACCTTTTAAGCTCAATCTCTTGAACTTTCTTTTGGGTTTCAGCCTCCCACGGGAAAAAACAACAACAACGAAAATGGGTGTCTCAAGTTCTCCTGCGTCCAGTCTCCAACCTCCGTTTCCAGTAGGGGCTATGCTAATCTTTTACTTTTCCTTTTTTTTCCCCTTTCTCTTTTTTTTTCTTTTTTACTTATCTGCTGTGTAAAGGACACGATTTCTGGCCTCTATATATACTGACTGAGATGGCTGCCATTGCTTACATACCTCTGTGATCTCTACGGCGGATCTGGCGAATGGGACCACCACGTCTTTCCATGTGTTGAATTTAGGTGAAGAATGACTTGTTGGAGTTACAATGAAGATTGATTTTCTGATGGCTTTCAGATTTGCTTCCTGCAGATAAAGACAAAGGCTTAGGGTTTAGGGTTCTTAAAATTAAAAGAAAAGAAAAGAAAAGAAAAAACAGAAAAAAAACGGAAAACGTGTTTATGGTTTATTGCATGGGAAATACAAAAGGAGACAGATCAAGACACCAAAATGGTGAAAAGAATTGTCAGAAACTGACAGATTAGTACATGACAACATTCATCCACACACACACACACACACAGAGAGAGAGAGAGAGAGAGAGAGAGAGAGAGAGAGAGAGAGAGNAGAGAGAGAGAGAGAGAGAGAGAGAGAGAGAGAGAGAGAGAGAGAGAGAGAGAGAGAGAGAGAGAGAGAGAGAGAGAGAGAGAGAGATTGAATGTAGACAACAGCAATGACAATCCAAAACAAAAAAGACGAATGGCAATAAAAAAATTAACCAGTGAAATTTTGTCCTTTGGGACATCTGTTAAAATTGGAACGATATAGAGAAGATTAGCATGGTTGCGGAGTGAGGATGACACGAACAAAAAAAAAAAAACACAATGAAATTGTACCATCACTCGAAGTCTTCATGCGGCAACTCTTCTTCTCCTTCTTCATCTTCTTTATATTGTTATTATTATTACTGTTATCATCATAACTATTTCCTTTTCATGTGGTAATTTCTCCCTCCAAGCCTGCATAACCCCTGCACCAACTGAGCACTCGAGTTATTGCACTCCACGGGGGAATATTCCCGGCGGTTGTGGATGTGATTCTGGTTATAGATGTGACTCCCGCAAAGTATTCTTCTGTGAATCTGTTTCTTTTGCCTTCGTATGTGTTTTGGTGGCCAGCCCCTCCTGTCGATCACGCTTTCTGTCCCTGGTCGAGACTTTGTATGGCGTTGGTGTCACTGGGTGCGGCCGCCACTTCGGCAGATTGTTACTTCAAGATGTGAAACCTCTCGCACTAAGCTCTTGTGCGGTCAATCAGTTTTCAATGTGATTCCAGTTCTGCACCATCTTCTTCTTAGACTGCTCTCCCTCCCTCCCTTTCTCCCTCAGGCTCACCCAATTACACTTGTTGCCGCCCAACCAGAGCAATACGTGCCAAAACATCCATGAGTCAGACAACTGCAAACTGCAGCTTGCAGCTTGCAGCAGGCAATTTTTTGCTGTTGAAACAGCTGTCATCTCCTCATGGATGGGGGACAAGCGTATTTACTACCCTATTTTTCTCTCTCAATCTTGTACCCACCTCACACTACCCACCTACCTACCCTTATCTAGTATGGCAATTTCCCTTTTCTTTCTGCACTAGTCCAACCACAAGCCCTACATAAATCTAACGGTGGGAATCAAGCTGCCCTCGATACTGGTAGGGTGATGGTCCTGAGTGCTGGTCACACTGAGGTAGGATAGTAGGGGCAGGGGGTGCGCTGGGAGTATTAACGTGGGGATGGGTAGGGTAAGTGGCCTATCCTGTCAGAACAACCATTGGCTGCCGCTGCTAGCAATCACTGTGGGTCTGGTCCTTTGTCTCTACAACAACCTGGGCTTTTCAAAAAAAAAAAAAAAGGGTTATGGGTTGCACACTATGTACCTACGGGACGCTTTCCTTCCCTGATCTCCCAGCCTACCTATCCCCTCAGGGTTGAGTCCTCCCGGTTGAGCCTATCCCCTCAGGGTAGAATCTAACCCCTAGCGCGGATGCACAGTTCTACTAGGGGGAGCACGAACCGTCTATCAGGCAATTTTGTTATTCAAGATCGCTGCTTCAAATACGATTTCTAGTCAAAAGGGAGCTGTACACACACAGATCAAGGCAAGACCTCCGCTCTCCCCCTTGCAACGTACCTTGAGCAGTTGGATGTCCTAGTAAGCCTACTGTCTTGGTTGCCCCAAGTAGTACAGCTATAATGACCAGGCATGCTATTTGGGTGAAGATGGTACTACGAACTTTGAGGCTTGAGCCGGGATGTACATGACATTGTTTGTAGGGCTTCCGACAGTGTCATTATTGCTGGCTCAAAGTTGATACCAGGCTCGTCAGGACAAGTTCATTCCGGCTCACAAGATCAAAGTACAACTCGCAAGATTTGCTTGATCTTGTTCATGACCCTGTTTGTTGCATACTGTAACGGTGCAGACCAGAACAAGAACCAACCTCTCTAACAAAGTACAAGATAGCGCAGCGGAAAACTTAGATACCAATGATCCGAACAATCAATATTGCAATGCAGCCCTGAACATACATCATCATCATCATTCCATGGTGTGAAGGGGTCTGGCGCTCACACAGGAAGAMTGYRCCASSCCCAACCATACACAGACGAAGAAGAGGGGGGTTAGACGAAGAAGAGGGGAAGATGGGAATGTCGTCAACACCAAGTCTTCGGCACAGGCCCAAATAGTCCCTCGTCAAAATGTCTGAATCCCAGTGTCGAGTCTGGATCCAATGTCGTCAAGTCTCAAGTCACAACTCTCTCTCTCTGTAGTAGTTCGCTGATACTGACAAGTCAGGTGGTGAGAGGGGAAGAAGAGATGGTGGACTTAGAAGAGAAAGAAGAAGAACTCTCTCTCTCTCTCTCTCTCTCTCTCTCTCTCTCTCTCTCTCTCTCTCTCTCTCT